GTGGGTGAGAGGAGTAGGGTTTAGGGTGGGTAAGGGTGGGTGGGTGGTGAGGGCGCAGCAGGACCAAGGCTACTGTACATACCAGTGCGGGACAGTCTTGAGGGGTGCAGTACACCACCCTTGATCTTGACTATCATGACTTCCCCCGGCTGGGAGGGAGGGAGGGTGAGTCGAGGTGAGGAGGGAAGGATTGAGGTGAGGTGGGGATGAGGCTGTGAGGGAGGGTAGAGGTATGGTGACGGGCCCTTGCAAGGTAGATACTCGAGATGGGGCCGGTGGTAGAAGCAGCATCGCTCTTGCCTCGCAAGCAAGATGTCAGGGGTTCGATTCCCGGGCCGGTGGAAAGTTTGGACATACTTCCTTGCCCCCATTAGTCCCTGTTCATCTAGCAGTAAAGTAGGTACCTGTTGTAAGTCGAAAGTTGCGAATTCGTATTCAGGGAGTTGTTGGAGCTTCCTATAACTTGATGACATAAACCATTGACTCTTCAGGCTTCTACGCCCTTGACTCTTCAGGCTTCTACGCCCTTAACTCATGAGACTAAAGGCAAGCATGAACTTTGCATGCTTCCCTGTTGGGCGCTGTAAACGCTTCTGCGCTTCACCTTACACAAGGATGTAAGGGAGTGCCCAATAAATAATAATAATAATAAAAAAAAATACCCGAGATGGGAATGTGGGGGAGGGGACGGCTGTAGCTAGCTGATTGGTGGAAGTGGTGGGCGGGGTGAGGCCAGAGGGGTGGGGCAGCGAGGGAGACGGGTTGTGATTGGAGGACGGAGGAAGGGCACTGCGTCCAGGATGAAGGAGGGAAGGAAGGAGAAGAGGGTGACGTAACTCGAAGATGGTGGATGTAATATACAGGGTAAGGGAGCAGAGGGGGAGGGCGGCTGAGTGGTGGGTGGTGTGACATAACACAGAGGTGGGAGAGTGAACGGGAAAGCAGGGGCGGTAGACTGGCAAGGTGATGGTCTGCAGACTGTACTAGACTGTATCCGGCGGGGGGTGGGTGCAATGTGCAAAGCTGACACGCCGTAGTAGCGACCTTGACTAGCGGTTTTCATCCCCTCTTCTCGCATATTTCCTCCTCTACCCCTTCGACCACGACACCGTCAAAGGAGGGGGCTCTTGACACCGGGGCCCTCATGACCCCATCTGACCTTCACCAGCATAGAAAAATTTCGCGTGTCCGAAAATACGAGGCAGCAGCTGGGTCCGTCTCTCTGCCCGCCCGCCTGCCCCGCCCACCCGTGCGCCAGTGGCCAAAGACTATTACTGGATATAAGGAGAGTCCACAACCAGTGTGTATCATTCAACAGTGACACAGAGACAACACCTACATCAAGCATGGACGTCCCCACCACCCCGACACCCACCCACGTCCCTCTCCGCCGTCCTAGAGCCAACACCACGCCCCTTACGACGTCTGCCTCGCCCCGGCACCAGGCACACTACCCTGGCGCCAGCAGTACTTCCCTTTGGTGTTCATACGCCACGCCAAGTCCTCGCGCCCTACAACACCTGGTGTGGGACGCTGCTAAGTCCTGTGACCTAATGATGAAGGCAGTAACATAATGCCATGTCCTGTCAGGTAGCTGTAGGGCTATATATTATTACTGTCAATCTCCTCTTATTCACTTACAGTTCTCATCGGCAGTGATTGTCGACAGAGAACAAGCACGCTTACATGTATACACCTACACAGGTACGCTCACCCATAGCCCCTGAGAGATGAGAAAAGAATCATATCATGGTGACCTCTGTACTAATCAGCCCTTCACCTGACATTTCAACAGGTAACTGATTAACCAGACAAGGTGTTATCAGTTTAAGACGCACTTCTCTTATTTCCTATCTGTCCCATTTTCTCTTATCTCTCTCAACCCATCACTCTTATCTCTCTCACTCTACGTCACTGTCTCGTCGTCTTACTCCTGCAGGAGGTCGTTGAAGGGGTAAAAATTCAGGGGGAACTAATGACAACAGCCTCTACCGTGACTATCACTCAGCTGCCAATGACACATGGCAGTTGATGTTGTACAATATATGCAGTGACACATGACACCCACTTGTACTGTGCATCAACAAGGCATGACTGTCATGTGGTTGGCAGTGACCCACATGATACTAGCACTGTGCATGACAAGGCATGACTGTCATGTGGCAGGCAGTGACACAGGACACTTGCATTGTGCACCACAAGGCATGTCTGTCATGTAGCGGGCAGTGACACATGACACTTGCACTGTGCACAACTAAGCATGACTGTCAAATGGCTCTAACAAGGAATTATGACAGAGCAAGAAAAAATAATAACTTCTGAAAATCATGACAGTGAAGTTTTGCCTTTTGTAGTCAATTTCTCTTTACTTTATTGAAACATAAACAAAAATACGAGGATAACCAGACAACAGGGGGAGGGGGGCACAGGTCAGTGTGAACCAGAGACTGACCCCTGGACCACAGAGAGGGTAAGAAACTATGTACAGTGTTTACCATAGAGGGACACACCAATACAGACCGTGGGGGCGCTACCAGACACACGGAAAGGTTCTATGCAGTCAAATACACTCACAGTCAGATAGAGTCTTTCTCCCTCTCTCTCCCTTCCACCCTCTTTCTCCTCTCCTACCCCTCTTTCCCTATACCTCCTTACCCGTTTCCTTCTCCCTCCGTATACCTTTATCCTTTCCCTTTCCAGCCCCTCCCTCTCCCTCCTCCCCTTCGCTCCACGACAGACTAAACCAACATTTTCTCAGCAACATGGCGAGAAATGGATCAGTGGAACATCTTCTTGTGGGAGTCCTCAGGAGCCCACATCTACCTCAACTACCTGTGGGTAATGGCACACCTCACGTTGTTAGGTGCTGTGGCATGAGAGAGAGAGAGAGAGAGAGAGAGAGAGAGAGAGAGAGAGAGAGAGAGAGACTGACTGGGGAGGGTACTAGGCTTGGGAAGGGTAGCTGGGGAGGGTGGTTGGGGAGGGTAGCTGGGGAGGGCGAGGTTGAAAATTAACTAATCAAACTTAGATAAGACTCAGCTATGCATAAGGTGGTGCGGGGAGGGAGGGGCAGAAAGGGGGGGTTACAGGTATGCTTGGGAGGGAATAGGAAGGTAGAAGCCTCGTCTCTCTTTCCCTCTCCCTCTCTCACTCTCTTTCTCTCTCCCGATCTCTTCCACCCATCCTCTCTCTCTCTTTCTCTCTCTCCCGATCTCTCCCCCTCCATCCTCTCTCTCTCTCTTCCCCTTTCCCTCCCGCTCTTTCCCTCCTACGCTCTTACTCTCTCTTTCTCTTCTCGCCCCCTCTCTCTCTTCCCCTCTCTCGCTCTCTTTCCCTCCTCCTCTCTCACCCTTCCTCCCCATCGATCCACAAACAGAATTATCGGCACCAGAACCCTCACAACAGAAGTACAGAGGCGTTAGGTTAGGTTAGGTTAGGCGTTACACATCAGGCTCCTTACAAAGACCGTGGCAGCGTGTAGACTTCTGCAGGAGGCTGAGCGATGCACCTGTGAAAGATCTCCCGACACCTAACCTAACCTAACGTAAGTCGTAACCTAGAGGAACCTAACCTAACCCACCAATAACTTATCTCCAGAAGCAGCGTTGATAAGAGACATCGCTATTGGTGCCCAGTATGTGGAGTCGATACCGCCATGTTTGCTTGTGGGGGAGGAAAGGGGAGAGAGAGCGGGAGGGGGAGAAAGAGAGAGGAGGGGGGCAATGAAGTGAATGGGAGGGAGGGGGAAAGAGAGAGAGAGAGAGAGAGAGAATCAATACTCAACAATGCCTGTTCATTATTTTGAAAATAGGTTGAATCCAACTCGGCTTTAAGGAGTAGTAATAGCTGTAAGAAGATTAGATTAAGTTATTTGGTGAAGTTTGGTTAGGTTAGGTTTGGTTTGGTTAGGTTAGGTTTGGTTTGGTTAGGTTAGGTTAAGGTAGATATTTAAAGTTGGGTTAGGTTAGGGTAGATTTAAAGTTAAGTTAGGTCTAGTTAAATATTGAGGTAATTAGTTTGACACCAGATTCAGTTAAAACTCCTAGTATGACAAACAAACCATCAGTATGAAACAACTTCATACTGAGCCAATACCATATGCGTGTGTGACAAGTATGAGACTGGACTAGTACTAGGTGTAAAAATTAAGTCATATTCAGTGTGAGGTCAGTAATATAAATATCATACTATTATACAAATATGACTTTTGAACAATAACAAACATGAGACTAAATCATACTAAACCTTTCTGTATAAGTGTGTATCTACATTCTAGGGTTTAAATCATACTTATATAGACTGTATAGTTTTACAATCATACTAAATACGATAAACAATAATATTAGGTTACACAATACGAACCTGAATCATACTAAGGCCGTAAGTATGGATTTTATACACTTCACAAAAATTATAACGTTTTTTAAAGTATACACAGTCACTAGTATGAGAGTGGATCGTACTTGTGCCATCTGTATAACATAAAAGGCTTCTAAGACTACCAGTATGATTATCAGATCATTCTAGCGCCATCAGTATGAGACCAGAAATCATACTGGGATGTTTGATACATTTCTAAATCATACTACACAGACATTGTACCAGAAGAGTATACATCTGCTGCTAGTATGACAAATACTGACAGAAAAAATTATCACGAATCACAATAGTTGAAAATAACTTACCAGAAAAACTGAATACAGAAAATAAAAGTGAGGAAAGGGAGTATGAATGGGAGGAGAAGAGGGAAGAGGAGAGAGGGAAGAGGAGACGGGGGAGAGGAGAGAGGGGGGAAAGAGGAGACGGGAAAGAGGTGACGGGGAAGAGGAGTGGGGAAGAGGAGAGAGGAGAGGTGGTAAAGGAAGAAGCTAGCATCAAAAGGTGAAAGAAGGAGAAGAAGAGGAGGAGAAGGCTGTAGAGGAGGAGGAGGAAGAAGAGGAGGAAGAAGAGGAGGAAGAAGAGGAGGAGGAGGAGGAAGCACACGGCAGCACAGTACTCACCTCCACCATTCTTGTAACAGAGGTAAGGGAACCTCCAGACGTTGCCAAGTCCTACACAAAACCCGATCACCGACAGGAGGAAGTCGAACTTGTTCCCCCATTGTTCCCTCTCCTTCGTCACGCCCTTCACCTTCACTTCCTCCGTCATAGTGGTGGTAGTGGTAGTAGTCGCAGCTGTGGTGATGGTAGGGCAGCTGGTGGTGGTGATAATGGAGATATCGTCGCTAGTGGTGATGGTGGTGGTAGTGTTGGTGGTGATGGTGGTGGTGTTTGTCGTCGCCGCGTTTCGATGTGATTCGGAACGCGATCTGGCTCTATGACGCGCGAGGTTTATGTATGGATCAAATGGTTTATATTAATCTTAAAGGGTTACGATGGTTTGATTATTGTTGTAAATGAAAAAAACAAGATTAAGGACCAAAGATATACATTTAGTAAATTTTTTGGTTTTTCTCTTGACGAATCACTGGGGGTGCCACTGGCGAGCTGTGAGTGTCACTAATCACCGGCTCTGAAGCGCACTTGCCGCCACACAGGACCAAACTAGACTTGTGCCGGTTTTGTTTACTTCAGTATGGCGACCGAAGCCTTTGTTAATGGAGAATTTATGAAAGACACACAACCTTAAGATAAGTCTCACAGCTCAAGCACAGTTAAGAGTGGTGGTGGCCGGCCGTCTCCCTCCTTATATAACCAGGAGAGCAGTTGCCAGTTGTAGCGTTAGGTGGGACCATTTTCACGCTCTTCGTCCCGATTCTCAAAGATTCGTCCGAAATTTTGTTATTCCCTTCTAAGAGCGATGTCAGAGGCGCTCATTTCAGATAAAACCTAAATAGCATTACGATGTCATTTAGGGAACCATAATATAAAGACTAAACATATAATTCACCTTTTAGTCATCAGGGGGGAATGGGGTTGAGGAAAGGGTGAGGGAGTGAGGGGGGTGGGGGGGTGGGGGTGGGGGGGTGGAAGAGCACAGACTCGCATCTAAAGCAAAGAAAGGAAAATTACTCGTAAGATCCGTGCAGCTATGAATCCATGTTTGTGCTGAATCTCTTTTTAATAATTCAGGATTTGGTGAATCAGTATGAACCCTCCGCTGACATGATGGCCCCTCCTCCTCCCCCCCAGCAGGTTATAAATGACTTACCTCCCCCCTCTCCTCTTCCCCTGGCTGAGATCTGAGGAATGGAATTATTATTATTATTTTTATTATGATTATTATTAATATTATTATTATTAGTAGTAGTATCATAACCATAATTAATATAGTCTTTTCTACTTATTATAATTTCTATTCAGGTGTATGCCATGTTTGTCAGGTGTGTGTGTGTGTATGTGTGTGTGTGAGAGGTATAGTTAATCATGTCAACATGTCTGGACTAGCGGGGTATACTCTATAACAGGTTTTTCGGTCCTTCAGTAAAAACAAGTGTAACCGAGAACTGGTCATACCTGTGTTAGTGAGGCGCTGCTACTATATCCGGCAGATAGATAGATAGATAGATAGATAGATAGATGAATAAATAGATAGATAGATATACAGTAGAACATCCCCCCCCCCCTCCACAAAGTAACACTAGACTGGTTAATCTTTATGCAAAATTACCTGGGGAGCTAATCTTCAGGTGATCTAATTAGTTCTTGGCATGTTAGGAGTCGATATTATCACTTACAGGTAGTTCCCCTTGGCTCAGTATGTGGCTTCTCTGTGCAGCCCTGTGATTTACTAGAGATCCCCATGTAGTGTGTAACTCATACTCGAGGTGGCTCATTTACGGTGTGTGTGTGTGTGTGTGTGTGTGTGTGTGTTCAGTGTGAGTTACGTCTTTAGTGAAGGTCAGTGACAGGTGGATATAAGGGAAGGTCTTTTGTTGATTTTCGTCAGGAGTGTGTCAGAGGTGGAGGCAGGTGCTGGGGGGGTCGGAGAGTGTATTAAAGGGGCGAAGGGCAGGCTGGATAGTGTAGAGCAGCAGAGGAGTGAGTACTTTAGCGTGGGAGGCATGACTCTGTGTGTGTGTGTGTGTGTGTGTGTGTGTAACTAAGCGAGGTAAATAGTTACTGCGGGCAAGACACGGGGAGCAGTGTTGAGGGAGTTCCCGCTGTATGGATCGATAATGGACAAGGGAAGCACCACACTGACTATCACCCTTATCACCATCATCCTGACTATCACCATCACCCTGACTATCACCATCACCCTGACTATCACCATCACCCTGACTATCACCATCACCCTGACTATCACCATCACCCTGACTATCACCCTGACTATCACCATCATCCTGACTATCACCATCATCCTGACTATCACCATCATCTTGACTATCACCATCATCCTGACTATCACCATCATCTTGACTATCACCATCATCCTGACTATCACCATCATCCTGACTGTCACCATCAACCTGACTATCACCATCATCCTGACTATCACCATCATCCTGACTATCACCATCATCCTGACTATCACCATCATCCTGACTATCACCATCATCCTGACTATCACCATCATCCTGACTATCACCATCACTATCACCATCATCCTGACTATCACCATCATCCTGACTATCACCATCATCCTGACTATCACCATCATCCCGAAGGAGAACATCATGGTGAGGGAGGACATCCTCTTAATGAAGGAAGATAGGGAGGACAGGTATGGTAGGATAGGTAGTTGACAGGTGTATAGCGGACAGGTGTGGCAGGACAGGTGTATCAGACAGGTGGTTGACAGGTGTTTACGTCACAACACAGCCAAAGTGAGAAAATAAGAATCTTCCTGAGGTCTTTCATATAATCCAACACACACACACACACACACACACACACAGGAGTCGTAGACCCTCAGCAATTTGGCAATATGAAAACTTCCTCCACCACTCACTGTCTTGTCAGCTTTCTCGATTACATATACCGCCATCTCGAGAAACGAAAAACGTCTGTAGCTGTCGCCTTCATTGATTTCACTAAAGCGTTCGACCTAGTCGACCACAATATAATCATCAACAAAGCTATTGACCTCGGGCTTCGGAGAAGTCTTATACCATGGCTTACAGACTTCCCTCAGTGACCGACGCCAAGCTGTACGCTTCCGAGGGCTGTCTCCACCTTTCAGTCACTCACCTGTGGCGTCCCCAAGGCACCAAGATGGGACCACTCTGCTTCCTTATGCTCATCAATGATGCCCTAAGAGAAACCCCTGCTCGCTGGAAATATGTCGACGACTCCACCATTGGGATCAGCGTCAACAATTCTGCTCCCAACTATACCGCCCTTCAGGATTTATTGAACAGTCTCCAAACTGGGCCACCAACAACCATGTCACCATCAACCATACCAAGACCATGGTTATGCACATCAACCTCTCCTCCGACATTGTCCCACCTCCTTCCATTACTCTAGGTCCGAACACACTCGGGTTGTAGATTCCACGAAGCTCCTCGGCGTCACCATAGACAACAAACTAAATTGGAAACCACACGTCAGTGAAGTGTCAAATCCTCCAGTTTCCGTCTCCACCTCCTCCGCCGACTCAAGTCCCTCGGAGTTCCTGCACACGAGCTCCTCAGTGTTTACACAACATTCATACTTCCCAAGCTCACCTATGCCTCCCCCACCTGGTCTTCCTCCCGAAATGCCACACAACGTAAACGCCTAGAAAAAGTGCAAAAGAGGGCATGCAAGATTATTCTCTCCCCTTCCTACTCCACATATCAAGAAGCGCTCAACACACTGACCCTTTCGACTCTCACTGACCAGCACCACGACCTAATCTGCAAATTCGGTAAGAAGCTTCTACACCATCCCCGACACCGGCTCCTACTACCACCTGAGATCCCTTGTCCGAGAATTGCTGTTCGACACCACAACCGCATCCAGCCCATACGTGCACGAACTGATCGCTATAAGAACAGCCCAGTCCCAACCATTGTAAAGATTATCAATAACTTGTAATAAATCAGTGAATTCACTCCCAGTAAACACTGCTCCTTACACTGTCACTATGTTGAAATGAACTGTAGTTTGAGCTTTTCCCCATCTAGTTATTATATGTCTTATTTGTGTCACTTATGTTACTTGTATATTATTTGTAATTCGTAACCCATTCCCCAAATATGTAACTGTATATTTTCAGCCTTCTGGCTGCCAAGCTCTTTCAATAAACCGTTAATTATTATTATTATTATTATTATTACACACACACAAAGGAATGAAAGGGTTAGGTTTATTTATATCTTAATATTTTCCTTCCGCGCGCGTGTGTGTGTGTGTGTGTGTAATAATAATAATAATAATAAACGGTTTATTGAAAAAGTTCTGCAGCCCGAAGGCTGAAAATATACATTGGACATAAATGACTTATTACATACATTGGTGGTTTAACAAAAGCCTTCATTAGAGAAAGGTAAAGGAACATACAGTGAACATACAGATTAATGTAGGTGTTGAACAGCAAACTCGTAGTGTAGTAACTCCCTCCCAGATGTGTGTGTGTGTGTGTGTGTGTGTGTGTGTGATAGCAATTCCTCCGTCTGCCTTTGTGCTTTCGTCGTGGCTCCAGGCCCAGGGAGGAGGTGAATATTTTCGTCTATTCTCAGTTTTTTGGGTAAAGTATGGGAGTGAGTGTTTCCTCTCTCTCTCTCTCTCTCTCTCTCTCTCTCTCTCTCTCTCGTAGCTTCCAAATTCACGACCTAGCATCACTTTGCGGAAAAAATTTATATATCACAAACAAATCTCTTCCTCGGGCCTTGGCCTATATAGCTCACAGACTCAAGGCGGCTACCCCATCAGTCTGCGGATTTTCTCACACGTGTCAGGAAGATGATTACTTGAAACACACCTGACTAACACACACAAACTTTATGGGTTCCAATCCTCCTCCCCCTAACCTTCAACACCTCCTTTATTCCACGACTCTCAGCTTAATTTGGCTCCTCTCAGCTTAATTTGGCTCTCCTCAGCTTAATTTGTCTCCTCTCAGCTTAATTTGGCTCTTCTCAGCTTAATTTGGTTCCTTTCAGCTTAATTTGGCTCTAGACAGTTAAATCTAATTATAAAGAGGAGTTAATTAGTATCTCCCTTGATTTCCTCTCGTCTACCTGTCACGCACCTGGGAAACACCTCCACAACTCTTTGAACTATGAGAATTTTTTTTATATATTGTTAAGAGGTGAATTAGGAACATTTTATTTGTATTTTGATGAAGGTGGATGAGAATGCTGTCACCAGGGGCATCTTCCTGTCTATATCTGTCTGAGAGGGCGTCGTGATAATGCTGCAAGATCAACTAGAGAGTGTTGTTGACTGAGAGGGATGCCTAGTCTTCATTCCTTGAGTAGCTTGAGTCTTGAGGCTTCTGGCAGCTTCAGCAACTCTTCAGCAAGTCTCTCTCACTGAGACTCTTCCTACCAATGTTCTCTCACGATCTTACAATACCATATGCTTCTTAAATAATACCTAACTAAACTTTACTTGTCTTCCATTACTGACTATAATTTACTCATCATCAAAGTGCCTTACTATAATCTAAAATAATAATAATAATAATAATTAACGGTTTATTGAAAGAGCTTGGCAGCCAGAAGGCTGAAAATATACAGTTACATATTTGGGGAATGGGTTTCGAATTACAAATAATATACAAGTAACATAAGTGATACAA